TTTGAACAGTTTTTATCAAATCTCAACACTGTTGACACGTCACAACAACCCCAACCTCTGGAGTTTGACGAGCTGTCTTCTACGGAGTTTGAACAGTTTTTATCAAATCTCAACACTGTTGACACGTCACAACAACCCCAACCTCTGGAGTTTGACGAGCTGTCTTCTACGGAGTTTGAACAGTTTCTATCAAATCTCAACACTGTTGATACTCTACAAAAACAACAAAACCACGACCATAGAAAAGCATATCCCGCATCGAGATCTATTCTTAAAGTTTAGAAGTTATTTTACCCGGGTTTTAGATTCGATAATGCTTGATGCATGATGTAATTCGAGAAATAATTCAAAAATAAATCGGTTCCTTGATGATGATCTAGAAAGTAGTGAGTGAAAGTGCAAGGTTATAGTCGATCAAAATAATATATATCTACTATAGACTTAAATACGAAGAATTTCTTCCCCTTCATTCCATTCAATCTCGCCCCCTACTTCACCTCCTCCCTCCCTCACATCACAAATCTCAATTTAGATTTCACAAAATACCCTATTACTCACTACACTACTCTACTCTACTCCACTCCACTTCGATATCATTTCCTAGATATTTTCAATTTCTCTACAGTATACCCAATCTCAATTATTCCTAACCACCAATTCTCGGAAACTCTTCGCATATAATTATAATCATGGGTCTCAGAATTATATAAGTCTTACTAGAAATGATAGATTATTTTCCAAGATCTAAAATTGAGAATCTGATACCGGTATCTTTAAATATTATTTATTCGAGTAGACTACCTCCGGTAAATCCTTATTAATATATAGATATCCTCATATTTTCGGCTAGACTCACAGGACTTACAGGTCAATTATAATCTTGTAGTTACAAAGTGTATAGTACAACAAGATAGATGTCTAAGAAAATTTCTAGAAATAGTAAATACCCATGTTCTTCTCATCTATATGATAGGATATGATATAATCATCAGCTCAATATTCTGCATAAAAAATAGAAAATATAATATGATCGGAAGTCTTCCTAATTAATGGATAGAATCTTGTGGTATTTATCTATCAAGTGGATATGTATCCACCTCGAACGAAAAAGATTGAGCATAGCTCAGTACTCACATCCTTCAATACCCCTCGTGGGTCGAGTAAGTAGAACCATCGCCATGACAACAAATACCGGTACCAGATTCTCCTAATTACACAGGAGACTGTATCTATCCAAGAACATTCATTCCCTGCATTCCCACTTGAAAAGCATAGTCGAGAGCAATATCATTCCGAATCTACCTAGTAGACCTAATCACCAACTTTAATCGAAATTATTACTCGAGTAATATTCAAGCAACCAGTATTTCCATCCATCTTCCATCTCATCGATATACTCAGTATCTCGAACTGAATTCAACGGAAGAAATCGCCGTGGCATTATTAAAATACTTATTAAAATTGAGAGCAAACTGTTTATAAGATATTATAAGAAAATATAATAGCAGTGCAGTTACGGTGGCTCGCCAGCTGTAAGATCTTACAATTTGTATAAGGGATTGCTTAGTCAGATTTTAATCAACTTAGATTTGCAAGCCTTAGTCTTAACGTGCTATCTCTGGATATTGACCAATAAACTTTTAATATAAGAATATCTTATTTCGAAAAAAAAAGAAACCTGATCATTGATCACTATCGTCGAGGTGCCTGATCGATAATATCAATACGTAATCAAGTCAGCTCTCTATTCAGAAATAGCCGTCTAATAATTCACAGCTAGTCGAAAAAAATATTGGTTTCTATAAGTGATTATCCTTATTTGAATAGTGTAATTTATGAAGAATGATTATCAAATTATACGAGTTACTATACTATAACTACAATTTATATTAAATATAATCTCATTTTCAAATAAAATATACCCTATAATCAACCTTACTCTATACGAGTAATATCGAAGGGGGGAAAACGCTTGCGGGGGACAATCGCTTTCCCAGACTGGGAATCAGGCGGCTACTGGTATTTCATAGAGAGCCAAACATTATCGGATGTTGAGAGTTGATAGTAAGTATGTTTGGATGTATTCGGAGAACGATCTCTATCTTAGCGATGACTTCAATGTGGGTTCACTAGTCAGGTAAGGTAAGGGGGCTTCGGCGATTTGCAACGCTGTCCCATACCATAAGATAAGAACAGGAAATTCGAATCCGCAAGCCAGATATCAGTTAGACGAATGTTGTAATACTCGAGTACAAAAAATGAAGAAAGGCCGTCCCAAAAAATTCTAGATAATACCCAATAAAACCCCGTCATAAACCTTTGAAAAAACGCAAAGTAGAAAGAGAAAAGTATAATCTCAAAGGTGATATCCCAAACCAACCCCAGTAGTTCCCACCCCATCTCTCCCAACCCTCTCCCAGAACTTCCTTAGACCCAGAACCATCGCCCTCGCCGGCATTTCTCTACGCTCAACCTTCTTTCCCCACGATCCTTTCCCCACCACATTCGCATCGCCATCCCTCCTCGCAAACCTCCTAACCAACCACCTAACCTCCACCTTCCCCTCCCTGGTCCCCTCAACCTCCCTCTCCTTTTCCCCCACCCTCCCTCTCCACCCCTCCACCCACGCCCTCAATCCATCCTTCACCCTCTCCCTCTCCACTCTCCTCTTTACCCCCACTAAACCCGGTGCTATTTTCCCTTTCCCCTGCCCATAGCATTCTTTCGGCAATACGTTTTTCTCCACTAGTGTCTCCACAGAGGGTCTTTGTCCTAGCTGTCTGTTCAACCGTATCTTGATGAAATTGCGACCGAGACTACGTGCTGCGAGCGAAGTACGCGTTATGTATATTCGTTGGTTCAGGAGATCTGTGAGATGGGCTCGATGAGATAGACGGCGGGAAAGGGTATATGATGCATCGTGGAGGCGGTGGGTGTGGAGAAGAGGATCGAGGCAGAGTGTTCGGAGGTGGTGGGATACCTGTAGGGAAACTTGTCAGTTGTTGCGTATCGAATGATGAAATGTAGATAGGGTGAATTGGGATAGATAGTAGGATATCTGCATAATACGATAGAAAGCTGTTAACGTACCCGTGAAGCAATTAGCAGATCATCGACGTCCAGATACGATAAGATTTCCAAGATTAATTCATCGGGAAACTGCGATAAGAGCTTCCTGCTATCGTTATCGCCATTAACCTCGTATCGTGGCACATCTGCCTTTACGGTTGCTATTTCATTATTTTGCGAAGCTCCCTCCATCATACCGCGAATAAAATGCTAATTCGTGAGTCAATGACAGAAAAGATGGTTTGAATTGAATCGTTAGACGTGACTTCTGATAGTTGTCGTCGTCGTCGTCGTCGTCCAGATATTGCGGGGGTTCAATCAATCTGCAGCAAATGCCGTGACAGAGGTATGGTAAGGTTATCTGAGACATTCCGAAACAAAGAATGAACGTTTTTGATAAACGAGGACAATCACAGCATCAACAACGACAATAACAATAACAACAACTTACTACAAAATCATCCATAGTTTGGAGACTCAATTGAAGATTTTCAAGTCATGAAAGTTTTCATGAATTTTACACGTCGAGGATGGGGACGGAGCTCTTGCTCGATTTCTCAATTTCTCTCGCTCAAGCCCCTTCATTTGCCTCCCTCCCGTTTAGCAAACAGCCCTTCAGTTCGGGTTGCCGAAAGTGATGAAAGGAAGCAAACAAAAAATGCTATTTTGAGGTTCAAATATATTGTCATTCCCTTGCCCCATTCATGCATTCAATAACACAGTGCATATGTATGTAATGATGATCAACTCAAAAATGTAAGCCTCAATTCAATCAATCATTCTCCCCTTTCTTCCTTTATGACCATGGTGTATGTACACCCTCTCTCTCTTCCTTCCTTCGAGCTGTCTGTCATTGATATCGATGACCTCTACTCAAAAATCGACATTGCCCATTTACACCCCTGTTCAATACGATGGATGATTTCTTCCTGCGACCCCCAACACGACCATTCTATTTTCTCACTAGACGTCTCTCAGCCTCCCATCTCCCCCGACTTAACACCTCCCGCAACACGAAGAAAAAATGTCCACCACAGACACAACCCCCTCTTCGCGTCCCACAAACCGGCCCCCCTCGCCTTCCTGGCTTAGAGCCGCAAATCATTTATCTTCCTTTCCTCATCCCCACACATGCAGGATTCTGAGGCTCGCAAGGAAAGCAAACAAGCAGACAACTTATCGGTCACCTTACCTACACTACAAACAGGACCGACCCGCCGACCCGCCAACACACCTTCCAAAGAAAGTCCATCAGCAAGCCAGCACCAACCATCACCCCTTCATCAGCCCTGCATACTGGAGTACAGATAGCCTATGCCCAATCCAGCATTCCATCTCCGTCTCACGTCTGTCGTACGTGCTATGGACATGGGTTTCTGGGTATATGGTATCATGTTATACTGTAGCGTGTATATGAAGTAAGTCCCCATACATATACATACTGTACATTACATTCATGTAAGGTTGAGGCGTATGCCCGCTGTCAAGGTACGGTACATACGTACAGTTCATCATAATCGTGCCATGATAACCTTTACCCTGCCTATCAAATGATTGTTCACTTATCTGAATGTATAAACGTGTATTTCGATCACAAACTACATTAAAGTATTGATAGTACAATGATCAATAGATTTAATATGAAGTAAGGCGTTCTTGTGATAACAGTGACCCGAGTACAGCACAATCTATCCACCGCTCATGTAAAGGTTTTACATTACATAGTACCCAGATCTTATTTGCGATTCTTGTATCCCACAATCCAATCCAATCCGAACATTCCCAACAACTTTCCCCGTCATCCCAAAGAAGCCCCAACACTCCGGAAGCGACCTCTCTCAATCGCCATTCCTCTCATATCATATTATATCAAATCAAATCAATGCAATCAACCTCTATCTCTCCCTCTCTCTTTCCCTCTAATCCTTTCCGTCCAATACATTACAAAACATCAATACAAGGCGACATTACCCATTTCCAGATCTCACTACTCAAGTAACACGACCACAACACATACACACAACACAAGCACACACTAAAACCCCCAGGCCCCGACCACCAGGCCTCGACCGCATCCGTCACGGTACCACCACCCCCTCACCCTATCAAAACATCCCCAATACGCATCATTGCCACCGGCTCCGTGACGGCCCGAACCCATTATCTCCATCCATTTTGTTTGCAAAAAGAAAAGTCTACACCCTTTAAAATCTACCGTCTACCGTCTACCGTCACTAATAAAATACAGTACAATATCTGAACGCCTCACTCATTCATATCTATTTGTACGAGGGGACAGACCCATAATCTGGCCTACATGCTTACTAAATATCCTATTCCTTATTGCATGTTTATGTTTGGTATGCTTTTCAGCGTGTCAGTGTAATTCGATCCGAGGACTTGTATACATTGCTTTGAAATATGTGCTGTGCATCTATCCATCCATCCATCCATCCATCCATCTATCTATCTATCTCTCAGTCTATCTATGTGAATCTTACCCATTTGCCTCACCGTACAAGTAAAGTATGCAATTGTCCAAAGAAATCGCACCGATGTAATCGCGCTGTAACGCCTTCTTTTTCAAATCCACAAGGTAAGGCGTCAGTACCATTCATCCATCCATAAATCCATCCATAGCCTATTCCATGCCTCAATCGATCCAATCCAAGCATTGGTCCGAAATCCTCATATCAGAAGTTCGGGATCTACGCACACACATCTGCGACAAATGGAAAATACCAGATACGTAACATTACATAACATAACGAATCATGATGTTCTACCGCATCACCCGTTACGATTCAATGGTGAATATAGAAGCTTCAGCTACAGCTAGAGCTAGAGACCTGATATGTAGACCCCAAAGATGACCTACATATGCAGCTGCACACGTTGAATATCACTCATATCATTTATTCCTTTCTCTCTAACGTTTATTTCTAACATCACATCCATCCATACAAACATACATACATACACATATCAAATTGACTCCGGCTCTCAGCTCGTAAACTCGGGCTACCATGGCAGGTATGAAGGTCAGTTCAAGGGCTGGGCTGGCTTGACTATTAATTTGAAAAGGACGCATCGCACCTTGCTATCTGACCACCTTCAAAAATACCAGATGCAAGTCAAGTAAGCACTATCACACACAATGCTTTCGATTGTTCAATTCACGAGCTTAGCCATTACTGGTCTATTGGTCCTGTTTTCCAGAGGCTTCCACACAGAAGCCCTCGTAGCCAATAACTAAGAGACCGCCCCCTCACACGAAGCTCTATCCAATCAGCTTCTCCAATTCGCCCCATTTCTATCTTTTACCGGTGGATAATGCCAATTGGGTCAATTTGAGCCTGTATAACTTTTCCAATTGGCCAGATCAAACTGTCCCTTACTGTGATTCCGCATCATCAATCTAGCACATGATTCAGTTCAGTCCCGACTAAAGGGGTCAGTAATGTTCGCGCTTTTATCGTTGCGCGCCAAATTCTTAACGTTCAAAAAATTAGAGAAGTTCCAATTCATGACGAAATTCGAACGTCTCTGTCTCTGATGTTGATAATCGTTTGTTGATATTTGCTATTTTCTTGGGGGCGTAGAACTTTAAATTTCTCGCTTGTGGACCCATTGAGGGGCCTTTGTTTATTGTTAACTTAATCATCTGCGAGGAAAGGGGGCCAAAATCAGGAGCTTCCCTGGACGTAAACAACGGCGCCAGCCATTTTGTCGCCGTTAGCAATAGTAATCATAGTTCATATCATCTCATCATGCATAATCTAACTCACTGGGCTTTCAATGATCCCCGAATTAAATTCATTTCATCACTTTAGACGAACTCAGCTGGCTCCGGACTCCCAACCCCTCGTTATAACCTGATCGGTGTGCCAGGAAGGGAAAAGATAAATTCAAATATGATAATTCTCGAGTATAATCTGCCTCACTGGAATGCCTTTCCTTCTTACCATCCCCTGGTAGAGAGAAGAAATAACTCATCAATAGAGAACATCCCGATATCATTTGATAATGACACATAAGATTGGCATAACACCGTATGAACGTTAAGATCTTGAACCCCTGATCCACGCAAGTGCAACGTAAGGTAGAAGGCAAACTCGAGAAAATAGCCACTTAGCTTTCATCCTATGTTTGTAATATTTGCGTCTCTAGCTTGCCTATGAATTGGCTGACACCTGCCATGCAAACACGACAGACGTGCCAAATGTCTTTCGCCCCTCAGATGCACATCCGATCTTTAGAATCACATTTCGTTGGTGTGACGACTTTATTGCATTGGCTTTTGCCACCATTACCAGTAACGCACTTGCTCAATCCTGCCTTGTCTTTGACGCCCCGATCATATTGCCTTTGGCAAATTGCATGCTGACCATGCCAATACGATCCATCCCAAATCAAAGAAAGCAAGAAGAATGATTATCATCTGCATCATCGGGTCTTTCCTCGAATGACCATTCAGGGGTAATTTGAAGGATTACCGGCAAATCTTTACTTCACGGAGAAGGAGGAGATGCAGTAAGATCGAGGACCGGAAGGGATTGAAAAGTGAGGCCGCATATTGCACATAAAATATGACAGAATTATTCTCCGGTGAGGAAATGTGAGGGAAAACAAAGAAGGTGGTATGTGTAACCTTGCCATACTGCATGATTGCAGCCCGACAAAGCCGTAGTTTGGAAACTTCGATATTGTAATCTAGTTGCAACTTTGCTCGGCCAAACTTAGGTCGCCACGTCAGTGACCATCCGAAGGCCTCCATTGGAACATTTTCGCTCCAAGCTATGTGCGTGGTGCATCGTGTTAACCAACAGCTTAGCGAAAGTATCGTAGGTGTGAGATGTGACGTGAGTGGTGCGAATTTGTGACATATTGTAGCTAAGCAGTTCGGGGTATGTTGGTTTGCAAACACATTGTATAGATGATCTTTTGCTTCAAGGCTCATCCGTATTTGACAACACATCGATTTCTGACCATCTTAATCTCGGCAAGACGGAACGGACTCTCGAGTCAGTATGCACATTGAGGCCGTCTTCTGCACAATCTGCGGCCATGTTAATGTTGCAGAAAACAGAACCAGCATTCGAGGTGGCTTGCAATCAGCAGACTGCAAAAACATGTCCTGTTATCAAGCACTTCTTTCAGGCAGATATGAATCGACGCCAATTCGATCAGAAAAGCAGGGAACTGTCAACATGTGACAGTATATCAAACCGAAGATGCTAGATGCTAAAATCTCAATATCAAGGATATAGATTAGAGAAAGGACTAGAAGAAGGGGGAATATCCAATGGTAGACTTCTATCACAGCCAGATCATGAAAATAATAACGATCGACTGATCATCCTTTGTAGATAGGCCCCGGTTGATTTAGAATAGGAAGTAGCCGGCAATTAAGTGATAGGTTTGTGTAGATATCTCTCCACAAAGAAGGCTATTGCGGTCCGTCCTTGGGTCTAGCGGGTCTTCTGTTGCAAGTAGAGAACGGATGATCCAGTAATCGGGAAGGAGAACGGTGGCAAGCAGCAAAAGCAAGGAAGTGACGGGATAAGGAGTTCATAACGTGATTGCCATAGCGTAAACTTCTGCACTCGGCAGGGGGCCACACGGTGTTGCAACGGACTGTGATTACCGATGCAGCAATTCCAACATGATGAGGTGTCCACCCTGTCGAGGCGAGTAAGGTAACTGAACGCGAGAGAATTTGAACCAAGCATCGGCAGAGTGGCAGAATACGATAGGTGCCGGTTCTTCAAGCAGTTGGGCCAAGGGTGTGATAGTATCATGTATGTCTTGGTGAGAAAGGCACACAATATGCGTTTCGTTTGTTGGCCCGAATAGAAGCGTGAAGAACTCGAGGGGGCTAGTAAACAAACACGCAGGACCAGGCTGGAAGGATTGTGACGGCGTGGTGTTCGGACCATAAACAATGCTGTTCAAGTCGTGTATAAATAGTCGTCTGTATGTCCTCAAATGTCGAATAACTCCCATCATCAATTATATCTTTCAACGCATCTCAGCAAACGATCTTCCAAATCTTGCTTCGTTCACAAAACTTCAACGCCATCCAGTCCAGCATTCTCCTTCGAGACATCATCGCGCATTGTCTCTGACCAACTTCATCTCAATCAATCTATCAAGAACATCTCCATACCACAACCAGTAAGTTTGACCCATGAAGCCTTATCGTGTTTCATATGAGGTATCGTATAGAGTTCAAGCTGATGCGAATGGTTACACATAGCTCCCATCAACATGTGTTTTTTCGACCAGTGCCAATTCGCCTGCAATGACTATAAGTGGGGCCACTTTCGACAACATTGTGCCAAAGAATATCGTACGGGCGAGACCTGCGGCATGAAATTGGTCATGACTACATACCAGAGTCATGAGAAGTGCAAGATTTGCACCAAGATCGATACAAAATGGGGCCGTATCCAAAAGGAGCAAGAGCGTGTGCTTCGGTGGAAGAAGGAAAACGGAAAGAGTCGCCAACACTCGATCGAAGCGTCAGAGGAAAAGATCCAGGACTTGTTACAAGAGGTCGATAAGCTCAACAAACAACGCGAGGTGAATAAGATGGCTCTGTGAAAGGTAAGAGACCAATCGCTTGATTGAGTTCTGATATCTGATACTGACCTCTTCCCAGTGAAACTTTTCACACAACAAGATGGTAGAGGACGAGCGAACGATTTGTGTCGCGTTTCAAACTTTTCTCATAGGGATATCTTTCTTTTGATGGAGTGAATTGACGGAACGGGAGAGTAGTCTCTCATTGAAGATAATGGGAATGATTGGCTTCGGATGACAGATGAAGGGATTTTTTTGGAATTATATACACTTACGATGAAACAATGAAACGATCATTTTAACCAGTTCCTATAAATTGTCAATAAAGTTGCCAATAAGCTGTGATTGTAATTGTATCTTTTGGTTCGATCCAGTCAAAATGGAGGGGGCTACTATCTGCTGTTGACAGGGCGCTTAGATGAGAATTTTGGGCGGCTCCGGGAATTGGTGTATGCGAGCCAAATGGAAGTTTGCCTGAATTGGCAGGGAAACAAGGCACCATCCGAGATCATAAAAGGCGATCATATCAAAAGAATCTTCGGAGATTTTAGCCGGCAACGATGATCAATGTCATAACGATAACGGAGAGGTTCCAGTTGAACATTCCTTATTGTGGGTCGTTGGATATATGTATGTAGCGAAGTATCGTACATAGGTATGTGTTGCGATGTTGTGTAAAGTTTTCCTATTGCGATTAGCCTATTGTGCATACGCAAATGTACACACCTAATCGGCAAATTGGTCATCACTAGTCAGTTTTCTTCATCGAGAGGTACAAATGAAGGTACAGATAACAAATATATATATATGGTAAAGGGAAGGGAAGGAAATCGAGAACCGCTTTTCCAGAAAAAAAACCCCAACTGGATCCTCCCCCTCCTTTATGTAATTCAAAATGAATGAACTTGAGTGTAGTAGTCAATTGTAACGTGGCTAATCCTCAATGGATATCTGTGCAGCCTGACTGCAGAGCATGACAATGAGACGTGATAGGCTCTGATTCATGATCAAGCAGCCAGTAGCCAGGCGCCTTTGACAAAGGAAATGCTTGAATGATACAACGCATAGTCAAATTACGCTTAGCTTGTCCAGTCAAAAATCGATTCCCGATACTCCTTCTGGGAAATTACGGCAACATGATGGGCCGTGGTATGAGGATATTGTAACGACCTTCCCCACTCCAATACGCCGTGGAACACAAAGATGCCCGTGTAAGTTAAATCCATGTTCTACTCCATGGCCGACTCTGCATCTGCGAACCCTCCCAATAATGGTCCTACGTCTTCTGATTTGACTGGCTTGTACTTCTGCATTTCCTTCTGCATTTCCTCTACATCTTCATCATCCGAGGTCCAACCATCGGACATTGGGTGGGTAGCTCCGACGGGGGTTTGTTTTGTATTGCTCGATTCGACCAATGTTGGCATCTTGGCTACAACATCTTGATACCGCAATAGTCTTGCATTTTGACCAGTGAACATGGTGACGGGCGCGCGAGGGATGTTTTGAGGGACCATAGCGAAGATATCGACAAGATGGCTGACAAGTAAGTGAGTTAGAAACGTCATCAATGCAATGGAGTAGTTGGTTCCCACGATGCAAAGCTTGTTACATAGGCTGGGGGTTGTTGATGTGGAAGAAACATTTGGAGCATACGTACTTGGACGTCTGCGCTACGACCTTTTGTAAGGCCTCCGTCTCCCTTTGAACTTCTTGATCTGCTTGGATAGTATTTGGATCTTGATCTCCGAAACTGCCATAATGAGGGGCGTCATCAAAAAGTAATCTCTGACTTTCGTCCTACACGCAAAGTTATCAGCGACAGCTTTACTTCAAATAGAGCAAAAAAGCATCAAACCTCATCCGATAAATCTCGATTGCGCTCCAGCCCAAGACAAGAAGAACAATTCCCCATTGCGAGTTGACTACCTTCGCTCTCTTCCAACTTCCAACCTAGGGATGAATTGATCCCATACACAACACCAAGTGTACTACCTACAATCAACCATCGACAGGAACTCTAGGGATCGAAACTAAAGTGATCAATGATATCCAGATGCGCGACAACTATACTGGTGTCAAATTGATGTTGCGAAAGCAAGGTGAAGGTTTAAAATAATTCATAGAAGCATTCTTTGGCACTTTTTGAGGGATGTTTCGATAAGAGAGTTATTCGGGATGGGCTGGAGCGACCTCCCGGCTAAATTACGGTCAGCATTTTAGTGCTTATACGGTGATTTATTCACGATACACCGTGCTGAGTAATTGCTGAGTAAGTTGACTAAGCAGTCTTTTCAATCCCTACATCCCCCCTTGACTGCTACCCTTCACACTCACCCCTTTCACTATCCCCCCTCACTTACTTACACCGTGCTGAGTAATTGCTGAGTAAGTTTCAATTCAATATCCCTACTTGACCCCTGCATCCCCTCGACTGCTTCACCCCTTTGCTTCACCCCTTCATTCATTCACACCTTCAGCCCTTCACTCACCCCTCACTCACCCCTCACTCACCCATTCAAAGTTTATTCCCTTTCTTCCTCCTTTTCTTCTCTCTTCTTCTTCCTCTTCTTTTACAACGAAGCGAAAAAGCCTCCATGGTAGTGGCCCAGCGGAGCGTCTACCTTCGCTGATTCAATATATTCAATCAATACATAGGTACAAGTATGAATTCATATCATCATCTCTTCATCTGGATTGATATCTCTCCAATATTCTGTCTTCTCCCTTGGATATACCTCCACAATCTCCTTTCCAGGCAGTAAATAACGATATCACCGATCTTCCATGGCTTCAGCAATGATTGATGACCCCGAAAGTCTATCCTAATTACGTCAATTCATCCTGTGGATAATCACTTGCCATTCTATCTGTATTTCAGAGGAATACCTCGTTCTCCAGTAGGGTTACAGCTTTGGGACGTATTTACTTGCAGAGACCTGTGCAGAATGTCCGAAAGATTTCGCTTTAAGCTGATAGTCCCTTTCATTCATTTATTGCTATATAGATACTGAAGAAACGAATACTTGAGACTTTCCTTACTCTGTTGCTTACGTCCGGTTTCTTTGATGCGTTTGCTATTTGACGAGATTTCATCCCTTGCTCGATTGCAGCTTTACCTTGCGAACAACTATTTATTTGTCCGTCGACCTTACCTTGTTACTGTACTCAATTGTTATCTCTTTCCAGTAGTACAATATCTTTCTCTCTTATGTTTCAATCCCCCTCGAGTACCTGCAATGCAGCGCAATATATTGATCGACATTCACTTAGTGCGATGTCCTCGAAAGATAACCCTTGGTGTGCTGTGGCATGACATTTATAAGGATGCATTTGCTCTTTCTCTAAATGTTCTCATCAGCAAATCATCTTATCCTCACATTCATTCGTTCATCCTGTTCGATTACGTCGGTCTTCATTCTTTTGTCCGTCAATCTCATTACTTTATATCCATCACTTTACATATCATATTATCTTCTAATACTCAACTTTTCACCATGTTTCGAAACCGAGATTTAGCTGCGTTAGCAGTGCTTGCTCTAGTTGAATCATCCCTGGGTAAACCTGTTGCAGGCGGGTCATGGGTTGAAGAGACTTGCATCTGTGCACCTTCCAACTGCCTCCCAGTTGTCACCTCCTACACTACTATCACAACTACCCCCATCCAAACCATCACCATCACGAAAACTACCAGTGGTGAAGTGACCCCTCCAGGAAGTACTCCTTCCGATCCTAGTACGGGTCCACCAGGGGTTCTCACATCATCTATTGTCCTACCTACTCCCCCTACTACTAGCCCAAGCGAGGTTGTTGTCAAGACCACTACCATCTCAGGCACCGAGGTCATTGTCATCAGCACTATCACCCCTACTCAACCTCCACCTCAAAGTACTCTACCTTGCGAAACAATCACTCAAACAATCACGACCTCAGGCACTGTCATTGTTATAACCGCCACCATCACACCTAGCCAGCCTCCCATCGAGACTGCCACTCAAACAGTTGGAACCCCCAGACTTACAGCTTGTATGTTATTTCTTCAATGTTTCAACCTCTCTTAGCTCGTGATATATCTAACCCATCTAAAGTGCCTGAGTCTGTCATTACAAGGACCATATCTGAATCAATCATAACCTCAAGTATTCCTGGATCGGAAATCGTTATCACGAAGACTATCCCTCCTACTACCGAAATTACTGTAGTTCCATGCGATTCAACGTTCACAGTAACTCAGACCGGAACAGTAGTCAAAACAACTCGTCCCGTATCCACAATCACATTGATCGAATCCGGAGTCATCGTCACCTCTACCTATCCACCATCGACCCTGTATGTGACCTACACATCCCATATATACACTACCATTGTTACAGCTACCACAATCACGAGAACTATCTCAGCAAGCACGTTAACGATAACTCAAACTGGTGAGATTGTCGAAACTACCGTCCCAGGATCTACCGCTGTCATTACAATTCCAGGATCTGTTATAACCACTGTCGTTACACCCCCACCAGCAGCTACCACTCCACCAACATCAACTTGCCAATACGATCCATGCCTCAAACAAATGCTAGAATCATCCGCCGTCACCTCATTTTGCGCTACCTATACAGCAAAGGTTCACACCGTCCCAATCTCACTCCCAGCCTGCGTCTCTGAATGTGATACTGCGCCAAGTGCTCTCTCATCCGCTTGTTCATGTCTAGTTGGTGATTATACCACCCCTCCAGTTGTAACTTCCACACTCGTCCCCATAAACACCGGTTCAACAATCCTGGACCCAGGATTCACTCCCACTCCAAAACCTCCATGCAAGCATTGTACTGGTGGCTCTGTTCCTCCTGGACCTTCCATCACACCCTCCAATGGGGTCTGCCCAACTCCAAGCCTAGTCTTATCTACGATCACGACTACAACTACTTTTATTAAATCTTTGACGGCAATCTACAGTATCCCTGTTTCATCAACGGCTTATCTTTCAAGCTCTCCCAGCCCTCTCAATGGAACCTCATCTACACTTTTCTCTGAGTCGAAAATATCTCAATCAACCTCTGGTGTCGTCCTCTCCTCGTCTACCATTCTATCATCATCGATCGTCATCTCAATTGCATCAACTATAGAGTCCCAACCATCTGCATCCCGGGCCGCGCTCTGGTAATTCGAATATCTTTGATCGGCCTCCAAGAACTTCTCTTGACAACCGACTAAGAATAACGCGAGGAAGTGCACACATGGCGCGATGACTCGGGAGGAGTGAGGTTTATGTGTTGTCTCGAACTTAATTTTCTTTATTTTATTATCTTGTAATGGGGTATTTGTTTTTATTTTGTTGTTGGTATCGTGTGGTATGGATTGATATGGTATTTTTAGTATGGTATGATTGGTATCGTATGATTACAATGGAAATTGACATAGATAAACATGATTAGATTAATTTGATAAGTTTACATTTTTACCGAGTTGTATGCATAATAATGATTGTGTTAACAAAGCTATGCAGTGATGTAACAATAGAACCTACGATGCTTCTGGCGAGACCCTTTGTCAAGAGATCAGATAGTGATGATGATAGATCTAGCAAAATCTGTCACGTTTTTGAATTTTTGTGACAGTGGTAAGGAGAGTTGGTGTATTATCGAAAAAACCTGGAGGGGGAGCTCAGCAAAATTCGTTTTAGGTATCGCACCAATTTCTGTCTCATCCATTCCTGAATTTCAGATCGGAATTGTCAGATGAGACAAGATCAAGCAATCTCACCTCTGTGTCGTAATCCTCGCAAGACTAATGGGTTTACCGCTACAAAAATACCCCTTACTGCTGAGTTGACCAACCACTTCCCTGCGAGTTAATTGCGGAAGAAAAGGTAAAACGGAGATGAAGCTCTAGTTGGTATCAGTATATATGATTTGGTGCAGGTTGGCATTGCAAGAGTACGCTTGGAATCACAGAACGTGGTGAATATAAGATTATGAGTCTTCTCGCTACTTTCTGCACACGTTCATTGTTACGTATCTTTCCACTAAAGAAGTCCAGGCTGAGTTGTATCTAGGTTCTAAGTTTGTCCAAAGGTTTCCGTGGGAATTACATGATTCAGCGGAGCAAGCAATATTAGAACTACTTTCCTTCATTATTTTTACCAGAATATTTCTCGTCATATCAAACATAGTTACGTCTAAACTAATGTTCCCTAGTTTAGCAGAGATTCTGCGAAAGCAACTGGTAAGCTGCACCCTTCAGATGACACTTGAGATCTTTGCCAGGAGATAATGGCATGAGTATGTACTTTCAATACCATTTTAATAATTAAGGAGCATGGCGAGATGTGAAGCAATAAATCTATGTCCATTGGAGATTGTCACCTCGCTGTAGGGACCGGATGTGGAAGTCTCGAAGTGCAGCGGTCACACAACCTTATATCTTTCGGTCCATACCATACTGCCAGTCATCAAATTCAATATGGTCGATTTCTCTGATCAGCAGCTCCAACTACTCACCCGATATAATGATAGTATGAATCTGGTTATATCTGCAGTTTGTTGCTAGCTATACTAGTTCTACTCATTATATCTAAATTTCTACTTTGCCCTTCTAGAAATATTCTATACACTGAATTATATATCCAATACTTAAAGGAGTAACATTGAAAATTAAATAACTCAGACTTGTCAAAAGTCAGATAGATAGATATCCGCCTCTGTGTTCCCAGATTTACATGTTCCTACGCATTATTCTAAATTTCACACTTTCTCACGAACATTTATGCGCTTGCTTATCGAGCAGTAAAGTATGTGGCCAACCGGCGCACTACAATAGTACCTTCAATACCAAGTGCTATTGGCTTCTTCAACTCTCCCTCGAGAATGGACTGTACACGTGGGGCAGAATAGCTGAGCTTACCAGTGAACCATCTTTTTCAGGGCAGTTTTGGGAAATTTGCGACGAAGCTACCTATTCCTGATTCTGTTATACAATTAATAATGCTGCCTGATCATACATCTAGTAACGACTACCGGTATCCATGTGTCCAAAAACGGGTATAATATTTCCCGAGTCCAATACCTAGCTCTTCCTTATACTACAAGTATCCAAGAAGTGAAAATATGACCACCTCAGCTGCAGCTCCCAATATGATTAAGACCTCATCCTCATCTCCAAAACTTCGCAGCTACAAAGATTATAGGAGTCGAAAAGTTCGTTGTGATAAGTTGTCGCCGTGTGCCAAGTGCCGCAGTGTAAATATCCCATGTTTTGTTCCCTCGACAGATTGAGCTTCTCGAGTGTGCTGATAAATTGGTGGCGGTATTTGTTTGAACGATGGATGATTAGATGTTTAGTTTAGCGAGGTGTGTTATGCATAAGTTACATAGATCTATGTGGTGAATCTAAAACCTAGTATCAATATTTGAATTATCAAATCTCCTCTATCACTTGACTTTAATTTTCTCACTATTGTTCACCGGTCTCATTCACCATTTACCATCCAACAAGGCAAACAGACTTGTCACTTGTTCTAAATTCCAGAAACTTTTCTCAAACCCTATCCAGCGATATAATTGATCATTTCCATTATCTTCACCACCCACAACACATTTTACCACTACGAACGAGTATACAATCAGCATAACACCCCATGATCTTCAACTTAACCCAAGTAATCAGCAATCAGCAATGTAAAACAAGTTTGCGCATCACATCATGTCATACTCGCATCCCCACATCTAACCAATCCAGATCACGTGTTCGCCAAACATCGAGCCGAGCCGAGAGCTGCCAAGAAAGATAGATAGATAGGGGATCTAGCGACCGGGACGTGGATTATGGATTCAATTTTCTATCAAGAGTCGCTGATCGTACTGGTCGCATCAACTGATGGCGACGATCAACAAATAGTACGGATTTTCTTCCTTACTTTAGGATTAAGATCATTGTCATCTTTCATGATTCTTTATCTATCTATCTAGAATTTGCTTTTGGTGAACTAGAGTAGTTATGATTCAAAGACTATTATTCACTATGAGCGATAGCTTCTTTGAGCTACTACTACCAGTACCACTACGCAAAGCCCGATATCAATTATATGAATCCCCAAAAAAAGAAAATCGCATTCGGGAACAATATATCCACTATACCACCACACCATACCATAAACGTATCAAAACAATAGTACGATGAAGATTAGGAGAATACATCCACCCCCTTTCGTTTTCCTCTGACCCCCAAATCAACCCCAAATCAACCCCTCTTCCGAGTGCAAGTTCTCCTACACCTCAATCTCCCCTGGCCAGCCTCCCCACCCAGCACACATAAACCCACTACGCACTCCCTTAATCACAATAGTATTGTAATATCATCTGCAACCCCATCTTCAACCGCGCCACCCTATATATACTCCAGTAATCTACATCTTTATACCAGTATTCGGTCTCCCGCTCTCGCTCCCCCTTCTCCCTCCCACTCCCCAACTCTAAGAACCTTTTACGCGCAGATACTGGATACATCGTATACCTACCTTCCTAATTCCGCCAACGGTGATCTCGACCCCTTTAAACCTTTAAGACGGTGATATATATATATGTATATGACATGAATTCCCATTCCCATTCCGCATTTAGGATACAGTAAAACACGGGTCCCGGGGTAGTAGTTACTCAAGTAGTAGTGGAGAAATATACAGGTATACCGGTACATGTATATTAAACGAGAGAACTAACATTATCAATACCCAATAATCTTCAATTTCTCCCTCCAGTATGAACTACTGCAACTTCTGAAATTCGAAAGATTAGAATGAGCAAAACACACAGACGGAAAGGAAAATAAACTGAGGACGCTAAGGAATCTGCTTGGCTAGAATTATTATTATCTAAATGAGATAAGTCTGAAAGCTGGTTCGAAATCACATGGGAAGCATTTCATTTCATTTGTTTATCACATTACTGTATGCCTATCAAAAATATTTCGACAATATTTCGATCCAGGATTCATTCATCTCATGTAAATTGTCATCTATGGTAGCACTTGCTATGATAAAATCGGTGTATGAATTGCCCATTCCATATGAAAGATTATTATACTCATTTCTTTAGTTCATCAAGAACAAAAGATCCCATGAATGATAAAATGGATTGAACTGTACATTCTCGTAGCCGAAAGGCCGATATCCTGCTTTAGTAACAGAGATATAATAAGACAATATCGTGCATCAACATGGCTAACCTTTATATTTTTATAGGTCCAGACTCCAAGGTCATCTTAATCTAAATCCATCCCAATTATCCTCATCCTCATCCTCATCCTCATCGTCATCGTCATCATCGTCTTCCAATGTATCCACGGCTATTGGAGTTTCGGTTGGTGCACTCGCCTTATTTTGTTTCTCTCTTAAAGCTTCTCGTTTCTCCCGTAACCGCTTGACTTTCAGTTCTAAACTTTCCATTGTTTCGAATTCATCCTGTAATTTTTTATCTGCATCTTCCTTGTCCCCTTCCAACTCGGCTTCCAAGATTTGTTTCTTCCGAGTCTTCTCCTCCTCTGTTGATCGAGCCGCTACTTCTGCCGTAGTCATTGCAGGTGCAGATATGACAGCTTCTGATTCGACCTCTGCTGGAACATCTGCAGCCGCGACATCTGCTTCAAATGCGGCCCATTCATCTTCATCCACTGTGGTTTGATTTATTGGAGGTGGCGATTTGGTTATTTTCGCTGGCGTTGCCGGACGAGAGGGGATTTGCATATCAGGAGGTATTCCTGATTTCGAAGGTGATTCGGATCTTTCCTTTGATATTTCTGTAGCTGGCACAAAAGATTCTTCCAGTGAAATAGGTGAAGCTTTACTGCGCTTTTTCGATGTACCAGTACCATAACCTATATCCTCCTCCTCATCGTCCGCTTTCCTCTTTTTGTTATTTCCTTCGCCGCCATCTGTATCTGCCGCAGCATTGCGCTCACGTTCTGCCTCTTGTTGTTTTGATAATCGTATAATATGTCCTGGTGATCGCAAATGTCCCTCCCATAATGATTCACTCTTTAATTGTAAATGACAAACATGGCACATCAGAATACCCGCAGTTGAATAACCGGCATGTTTGTGTTGAATGCGACGAGCAGCTCGTTCATTTCTGAGAAGTGAACGGACATCTGCCATTATTATTGTGATATGGGTAGAGATGGTGAGACCGAGAGACCAATAATATCATATAAGGAAGAAGTGAGGGTAACCGGAAATGCAGTAATTTGGTATGACTTGATTAATCTTGATATATATTTATTCGAGGTTGAAGTTCAGGTCAATCCTTTGGATAGTTAGTCAGCCTCTTCGTCGTATCTAAAATTTACCGATATCACATGACTACCCCCGCACCTTGAAAAGCTTTGGAATTTCTAAGCCTTGTCTCTTTTTGCCTACAACGGCAAAATTGTTCATTATCTTAGTGAAAATAATCAAATCGCCCGCCTTCCCTTTCCCTTCTTCCTATCTCGAGACTTCAAATCAAATCACAACTAACGAGTTTGAATAACAATCAACCTTTTATTGTCCATCGCATATCGAAGCTCACCGTCGCCTGAAAAGTATCTTCCCCATCAATCGCGACAAGCAATAATCGACCCTTCTCATTATCTTGCAGCTATTTGCGCATACAATACAACACGCGACCGATCTTTTGAACCTTATCCCGGGTATCAATAAAAAGCAAATATCGCGACTTCAATTTTTGTACTTGGGAAGGATTACAAAGAGAAGCTTTTCATTATCTGTCGAGTCGATAGCATCTCTATTTCTCTTCTACGTATTGCTCTTTCTTCAAACACCCATAGCTTGTTCGTAGAGCCAGTGATCGCGTGAAATCAATTCATCAACGCGTACTTTGAAATCAGCTCCAGGGCGCATACTCATCCCTTGTAATAATCTTTTCCGCATCCACAAGAGTTCTGAACCTTTGTATCCTTGATAATATCCTTCATTATGGCCGGTAAGTAATAGCAACCTCTTCGCAGGTCATCCCATATGCTTTGCGCAAGAAATTGGCAGACGCTTTAACCCTCAATACGAACATACGAGGAGATAGCTGACAAGGATTATACAGATGTCAGGAAGTCGTCGCGAGCCACAAAAGGTCAACATCCCAAAGCTCATGAACTTGATCAACCCATCGAAACTAAGAAGAAAGGAAAGAAAGGTGGAAAGAAGGTCACTGTTCAGGAAGAGGAAGTTGAGGTCATACGTTGTGTTTGTGGAGTTACCTCAACTACCGACGATGATGAAGATGCCTGGATCGCTTGTGACAATTGCGCCGTCTGGCAGCATAACGTCTGCGTAGGAGTAAGTCCGTTTGAGGAAGATACACCAGATAAATACCTTTGCGAACAGTGTGCGCCACATGCACACAAAGACCTTTTGGAAGGAATTGCTAGAGGTGAACAGCCATGGGTCGCAAGACAAGAAAGGTACGACAAGGAGAAGGCAGAGCAAGAGAGGCAAGATGCAGAGGAGGCAGCAAGGAAAAAGGGCAAGAAAGGAAAGAAAAGACAAAGTGACCAGAAGCGCGATGTTACTCCCGCGAATGGAAAGATACAGTCCCCTCCAGTTTCAGTTCCATCCAAGAAAGAATCGCAAAAAGACTCGCCAGCGAAGGGTCCCAGCCAAAAACGTAAGGCAAGAGACGAATCCCAAGATCAAGAGGCTGTAACAGTAAGTTCTCAACGCGAGTAAATTGGTTGAAATGTGCTGACCGTATTTCAGGATTCTTCATCAAAAGTCCGCAAAACGTCAGCTCGTCCTACACCTAGAGCATCTCCACCATCGGACTTGCCTTCCAAAATTTCGGAACTTGAAGCCGAGCAACAAAGTCTGGCTTCGTTGATTAAGAAAGGTTTACTTCAATCCATCCCACATGCTATCGAGGATAGTTATTATACATTACGGCCTGACGATACCATTGATGCGAAGGCAGAGCGCCTTGCTATTCAAATAGAAGTAGCCGTTCGTAGCACGCACCCTAACAAGTCAGCTTCCATTAAACAAACACGCTCGATATTTTCCAATCTGAAGCAAAATCAAGAACTTTGCAATGGTTTGTTGACACAGTCACTGTCGCCTCAGGCCTTGGCGGTCATGACGACGGACGATATGGCGAGTAAAGAGTTGAAGCGTGAAACAGCAATCATGAAGGCACGAGCCGACAAACAATCGATCATGATCACGGATGATGGTCCTCGGATTCGAAGAACCCACAAGGGCGAGGAAATTATTGAAGGAGACAGCAATCCCAATGAATATTCTGACATTCCAATGTCTGCAGCACGTCGACGAGAAATGTTGGATCCAAATGCTGGTATGGGTGATAGGTCTCGGTCCCACTCACCAGAAAACGAAGTTGAATTGCCAGAAGTTACTGATGACTATTCATCTCGAGATAAAATTCGCACTTCATCAACTCCCAAAACCCCTTTGAATATCGATACCAAACAACCAGCTTTGAGAAAAGGTTCCACGCAAGGTTCTGCAACTGGAAATTTCGACATCAATAAAGTCTTCTCTAGTGTTCAATCTCCCCACCCTTCTACCAACAAACAGCGAGTTGGCATAGATCATTTCAGAAGAATGTCTGGGAATGCACCGCCTGTGAATGGCCCAGGAGATGATCCTGATGTTGATAAGATGCTTCAAGATGATAATGAGTCCCCACCTTATTCTCCAGTTGAAGATAACCCAGATCCGGATATTGTTTGGAGAGGAACAGTGAGCATGGATAGTGTAGCCAAGTTCCCAGCCTATGCCAAACAAGTTGCCGGTCCTAATTTGAGTCGCAATCGCATGCAAACACCATGGACCGATCTCCTTCATAGAGATTTGAAAGTTCATGGCAGAATTGATGCAGATAAAGCCAACGAATATTTATGTGGCCTTAGGTATAGTCCACCATCTGATGTGGTCATCATCAACATCACACCAGCTTCTGAATCACCAGATTTTCTTGATTTGTACAATTACTTCCATGACAAGAAACGTTATGGAGTACTTACCAATAAGGGTCCTGGAAACGTGCGTGATACATATTTAGTTCCAGTTCCTCCAGGACCTGGCAATATCCCTGACTTTGTCGTCAATCTCCTAGAACACAACTTACCGGAAGAGCGACCGGAACCTTCGATACTGGTAACCTTAGTTGTACGAAATGGGTGGGAGCAGCCTTCACGAATTCAATCCTTCGACGGCGCATCCGATCCTCATAGCCCTCTTACTGCGGGTGGTGTCGCTCAACGCCAAATGTCGATAAATCAATCTGGTCCAGCCATGTCTCCCAGTCCGATTGTTCATCCCGGCTCATTCCACTCTCCTTCTCCTGCAGTCCCCAAACCGAGTGAAGTACATCAACAACAGAACCTAGAAGAACAAAGAAGAATTGCACAAGCCGATGGTGAAACCGTTGCTTTGAGGATACTAGGCGAGTATGCGAGAGCTCCAACCGTCAGCTTTTTAATGCCGCAGGCTTATCAAATGAGAGATTTGGAGTGGCAGGCTATTAGGAGTATTTTGGAAAGAGATGAAAAGGCACAGAATGACTTGAAACACTTAAGTGAGGTTTTGGCAAGGACTGGACCGGCATAATCTTAATGATAACTATGCGATCTAGATCCACTGGAAACACTGTTTGTACTGGATTGAAATATGTATGGGTGGAATAGATAAGTTAAGGGGGTGATTGGGGTGATTAGGGATGGATACACAGTTTCGGCGTTCTGGGGAGCAAAATGCAAATTAAGGGATTGTGTGTGGAGTTTTTTTTTTGCCACTCATGTATAATTTTCGTTTACCTTCTTTTTTTTGGAACCTATTACTTACTTTACTTCAATTCTGGGCTGAAAATACCTACAGTACCTATACAGTACAGTCAGTATGTTGGCTTGTCTTAGCGAGAGAATTTCTTGTCGTAGCGAGATTTTTGTTATTTCATACGAGCTATCTCAATTCATACTCGTATGTATTGTGGTATTTTAGCTCACAGCAGATCAGCAGATCACAGTGTATTATGTTTTATGATACTATGATACTATTGAGTAATATAGTATTATAGGATTATGGAATCATGATCTCATTTATCTTTCTTTATATTCCGTGAGATAAATGGTATGGTATAGGATAGCATGCAATAGGATGGTATGAGATCATATTATATTATTAAAGCCCTCCCTCAAAATTTCTCGCTTCTCGCTTCGAGAATCAAGAATCAAGTTTGCCGAACCCGTTACCCATTCATTACCCGAGTCCAAAAGGCTTTCCTGTTTTTCTGTGATTAAACCCCTTCCTTGGTTTACTATTTATTCGTTCCTGTTCGTTCTTAGGTTCTTGGCTTTCTCAGAAACATTAGAGAAAGAAGGAAGGGAATGTAACTAGATAACGAGTACTGTTTTTGGTATCTAGGCTGCGCAGAAATACTCCGCTACCCGTGGGGACCCGCAGATACTCCGCCCCGCGGGGGACCCGTTGAGCTTTCAAAATTATCCGCCCCGCAAATACTCTGCAAATTTATTAATTTTTATAATATAATGAATATAAAGATTAATATAAAAACTAATGTATTTTTATAATTATACTAATATTATACTAATATTATAAATATTATAAAATTTATATCTGCGGAGTATTTGCGGAGTATTTGCAGCGGATATCCAACGGGTCCCCATTCAGATTTTTCTATTATCCGCCCCGCGGGTACCCGTTGCGCAGCCTATTGGTATCTATATTCGAGATTAGCTTGCAATTGCTTTCTTGTTGAGTAAGATTTGTCTCTACTTATTGTAAAGGAGTGAAGGTAGGTATAAAATCATAGGAAGTAGTAGTAGTAGTAGTAGTAGTATTTTACATCAGGAGAGCAGCTTAGGGCTGCCCTCAGAACCTCCCTAGGAGTATGCAAATATTCTAAGCTATAGTTTTACGATATATGAAATGAGAATGTCTTAAAAAGAAAAGTGAAAGCCTTATAGCTATTCCCGGTAATCATGTGTTACTTTCCAATTTGTATATTCTTTCTTCTGCCGGTTGAAGTAGTCCTGTTGTCTTGTCTAATGTAGATAGGTATATCTTTGTTATAGGCTTGTTGTTGTTTATACTAAGCGGATTGGTAGGCTACTTTTGGTATAGCCACTTAAATATTTGTTATACTTCAGGGAGTGTTTTCAGATATGCTTTCGCATATCTTATTGGTGTTCAGTCAGGTTTTTCATATCTGTTGATAGTATTGTTTCTCTGTATACACTCTGCAAAGAGAGTTTGTGGCTTCGTTTATGTTGTATATTGCAAGTCAGTCCTGGTAGTAGATGTGGCTTATCACAGGTTTTTAGTTATGTGTATAGAATACAGACTTGTAGTCCTCTACTTAAGGCATATATCTTCATAGAACTTTGTAAGCTTTAATAGCTTAGCGAAATCCATGGGATTACTTAAGACTTGTCGAAGATATTCGATACCTTCTTTATTTATTAATAATGGTTTGGGAGGCTTGTTCAGCTATTATTCAAAGGTGCCTTTTGCCTTTCGGTAGTGCATCAAGTGAACAAAGGTTTTGGGCTTTCTACAAAAGCATTCTATGTCTTCTGTGTATCCAAATTTCCTATGATACTATCCGAAGTTTTTGTATAAGGTTTGGATAGCTATTAGCTTGTGTAAAACTACTCGTGGGAATAGGAGCTCTGGGAGTGGTTTGATCTTATAGATTGGGTTTTATTGTTTATATTATAACAAAAGGACAGGTTTATATACTATCCACTATTCTTGGTGGGTCTCTTCTTTGAGGGTGTATATAATCGATCTCACTCTATTGTAAATGGGTTGAAATGCTGGTTTGGTATCTTAACTGGGTTTCTTAGTACCAAGGTTAGCAAGGTGATTAGCCACCTCGTTTCCTTCAATACTTTCATACTCCAGTGACTATTTGATACAAATATTGTGATTCTTTATAGCCTTGTAGTAGTTGTTAAATATCTATTATAATGATATAAAGGTATTAGCTCTTATACCCCAGATAACTGAGACACTATCGATATATATCCAGATTTTCTGGTTGGTATATCTGGCATCTTTGAGAATACATTCCAGGCCTTTCTATACTCCGATAACTTCTGTATCAAAGATATATGATTAGATATTAATAGAGCCGAAGTCTGTCAATATCTAATCTTTGTTTAGATATATTATATACCTGTAATTTACAATATATTTTCCTTTCATATAGTTTTCCGATTTATCTGAAAAGATGGTGATGTCTGTGTCTGACAAGTTTTTCTATTAGGTATTGAAGGCCTTTGTGACCATTTTCTTGTCAATCCCTTTTGTTAAATCTATTCGATAACTGGTTGTATATTGTGGTAGCTCGAGTGTAAGCCTTGGGATTGGGGGGATGAGGAAACCAAGTTGTTGGACTTTGGTCTTTGCTTTTTGTCTTATACCTGTATCTTACCTTTTGATAATTATAGGGGGTTCGATTCTTTTCGTAAATGGATGGGTTGTGTCTACGTTTTAAAGGCGTAGGGCAAACCTCAGTTTGACTTCCTTGAGAGCTGCTATAACTAAGGGGAGATTTGTTTCACAATAAAGGGCGGTCATCGATATAGTTTTCTAGGTCGGTATAATTCTTTGTATTGCTATTATAAGAACTTTTTCGATTTGTATCATATATCAGCCAAGACAGACATTAACCTTTGTCTATCCTGTTTTTAATCTTTGTACAGCTTTGAATCTGCTGTTGTATTAGGTCTCAATTCTGTATAGGAGTGAGGGTAGTATATATATCGTTATTGTCTTGTATATAGTGTGTGCTGGGGGGTTTTGTATAACTTTGGTTAGATTTTGGATATATTTTACTATTACCCTGGCTTTATCTGTATATTCTATAATATGCCTGTAAAAGTTCAGCTTTCTGTTGAACCACATTCCCAGCTATTTCAATGCTAGATAGGTATTTGTTTCTATAGCTATTATCGGATAGATTGTAAATTCTTTATTGACCCTGATAACTAATATTGTATTGCTATTGTCTATAGAGATATAAATCATTTCCAGCTTCTTTGGGGCGAAGGCGATACGATTGTTTATTCCTTACTTTATAACATCTTATATATCTTTAATGAAGCGTTTGGTGTTTTTCTCCAGGGTTTTGGATACTCTGAACAGACATATATCGTTTATATATCCAAACCTGAAGGAGGTATCTTCTGAGAATAACTCCGCCAGGTATAGTATATACAAAACTAATAATAAAGAGAAGTCTTACAGGATTCCACAGGTTATTGAATATTCTCTAGTTGTAACTTGCTTTAGTTGTACTCTGACTTTCCTTTCTATTAGAAAGGAATCAACTAGCAGGAGTAGGTCCTTAGGCCAGCCTTGCTTCGTTATTCTAGTGAGGAATCGTCTTTTGAGCAGTGTATCGAAAACGTTTTGTATGTTTATGGTAACTATGGTAACTTTCTTTCCAGTAGTTAGTACTGTTTCTATATTGTGTGTAAAAGATACTACCAGGTTTATTGCGGAGCATTTGGGAAAGGTTTCGTTGTATTGGGGATTAATAATGCTATACTTTAGAGCTGTCCAGCTTAGGTGTTTGGTAACTATTCTTTCCAGATTTTTTCCTATATAGGAGAATAGAGTAATAAATCTCCATAACCTTGCAGATGTTATGTCCTTTTTCCCGATTTTGGGTAGTATAGCCATTTCAACTAATTTCCAGGTTTTCAGAAAATAACTGTATTCAAGACATTTCTGGTAGAGCCATCTTAACGAATCCTTAAAATAATCCCAGTAAATTTTGAGGATTCTGATTATAACTTGGTTAGTCCCTGGGGATGTGCTGGATACTCCAATGATACTTGTTTCGATTTCTTTCAATAAAAACCGGGAATTCTAGGGTAAATATCTGTTTCCTTTTTACTAGTCTTTTAGTAGGTTATACTCCAGGTTATTTTCTATATTGAAGCGATTCAGGATTTCAGTCCTGAATGCTTCGGCTTTTTCCATCGAATCTTCTATTATTACTTCATTTGAGGTGATTAAAAGGCTTTTAAGGTTTGGGGCTAGTTTGTACCAACCAATTATCTTGTATAGATCTTTGTCATTAGAGATGTTATCTATAACGTATCTCCAATAGTTGCATTTAACTACTCTGACCATTGTTTTGAAGTCTTTCGTTACTATAGTAAAAAAGCTCCCTGGTGTAGCTTATCTGCTCAAATGCTCAATATAAATCCTTTTGTATTCTGTTATCCATTAGGGTGCTACCTTGCCTTTTCCTTTATCTATGGTTTTTATTGTAGTTATTGCTTGCTTAATGATTTGCGTAAATTGTTCAGTGAAATCATCGATCCTTTCTGGAATGTTGAAGGTATCATTTGTGAGCAGGTATATTACTTTGTTTGCTATTAGTCCTGTTAATTGCAATAGTTTTGTTTCCGGGATACAGATATTATACTGATCTAAAGGTTTGATTCTTTTGTTAGGTATTGTTGTAATCAGGATGTGATAATCCAATCTACTATGTAGGTTGTATTGGACCCTGATTTTTGTAAAAAGGATATTGGAGAAAATAAGATCAAATATATTTCCTTTTGTGTAAA